TTTCCTTTTAAAACTAGGAGGGACGACACCTGAACACGGAATAACGGAAAAACTCGGCGACGTGACATTTTATGGGATTCGGGACTGCCGTGTTCGTACTATAAAAAACTTACATTAGACTTACACTATTTGAGTTTTTACGTCTCACCGACTTCTTTTTCGTCTGTACGTCTGCATCTGTATTTATAACTTTTTTAATTTTGAAAGGCTTCAACGCTTGATATATTTGCTATAAATATGAATCAAGTACATATTATTTTTTTTACAGCAGAAAATGTTACCTTTGATAATTACAATTATTATTAGATTTATTTTTGAATAAAAAAATAGTGTAAAACTAGTTTTATAGTATAGTTGATAAATTAACTAAAATATTGTTAAGAAATAAAATATTGATATTTGGACAATTGATGGACTATTTTATGACTTTTTGAACCTAACTTAATATATCAAAAATCAAACTAACCCAAGCATACTTAACATAATATAATTGCGGACGAGTGGCAGATATATCCGCCCAAATTTGTGTAAATCTAGTTGTATGGTATACAATCTAATTGATAAATTAACTAAAATATTGTTAAAAATGAAATATTAATATTTGGACAATTGATGGACTATTTTCTCTTGACGCTAATATTTATCATAATTAATAAACATTCATTTTGTAACATTAACTAAATTTACCTAACTTAATATATCAAAAATCAAACTAACCCAAGCATACTTAAATTAATATAATTGCGGACGAGTGGCGGATATATCCGCCAAAATTTGTGTAAATCTAGTTGTATGGTATACAATCTAATTTACAAATTAACTAAAATATTGTTAAAAATAAAATATTGATATTTGGACAATTGATGGACTATTTTCCCTTAACGCTAATATTTATCATAATTAATAAACATTCATTTTGTAACATAAACTAAATTCACCTAACATAATATGTCAAAAATCAAACCAACCCAAACTTAACATAATGTGGCGGAATTTCAGGTAAGAAAATATATTTGGAAAAAGTTTGTCTCTTTATATTTTTCTATTATACAACAAATTGGTTGACTATAAAGATTGAATAAATCTTCGCTATTTAGCTTAAATAATTACAATTTCAGTAGGATTATTGAAAGCAATAACAATATCATATTGCAAAGTGTAATAATCCTAATAATAATAATACTTTATTGGCCGAACATCACTACAAATAATCCTATTATTATATAAGTAAATCGTTTCAAACTGGGTGATTTACAAAAAGAAAGAACATATTAAATGTAACAAGAGAAACTTAGTATTCATTAAAAGTTATAAATTCTATTGAATGTCATCACGTAAAATCTTATGTCGATCTGATAAATGTACTGAATGTAACGGTTTTCGTTTTGCGATTTTATTTAAGTTTTTAGTATCAAGTGGTGGTTGTTAGTTTTATTTATTGCGATTGCTTGGAAACAGTAAAATCGCAAGTTTCATTTTGTAGCTGACGCAAGGACGGTTTTATCCCCAGAGATCGGAATTGCCTCACTTGTAGTAAGTATGTTTAACAGAAACAGCTATGAGAACATGAATGTATGTGAGTATACACATTTCAGCTCATATTTATGTAGAATTCACTAAATTGAAAACCTCAACTTAATGTTGCTTTTATCTGACATTTAAATTATAATCTAGATTTTTTTTTGACATTATGTTATCTGTTAAAAGAATTACGTTATTTCGGTTTCTTAAAGCTTATTACCAAATTAATAATTTGTTTATAATAATCATTTTTCTGAAAATTTAAAGATTCATAAACAAAAAATTGAAATATATTAATTATTATAAAAGATTATTATCAATAGGTCTTTCTTATTTTTTTATTAAGTGTAATTAGATAATTTCCTAAGTATTATACACTTAGAATTCATGCAATTTTATAACTTGTAGCAATAAAAAAAAGAAATAAAAACTACATGGATCAACTATATAATTCCAAAAAAAATAGAGCAGAAAGTAATTTTGTGTATGCAATAAATTCTCAAGATGAATACATAAATATTACGTAACATGTATTAGAAAATGTATGTAATCATGACAAATAATATATGCGTATTCGGAACTTTAATAAAATAATAAATTGTAAGTATCGATCCGAAATGGGAGTAGTGAAATTCCTTCGCTTGCAAGATTAGCTGCATGTTTTTCATGTAATTACAATTAAGATTTAACATGAAATTGTTATGTCGCCGGCTACAGAGAGTAGTACAGAGGGGGGTGAAGGAAGACTTGGATGTTGGTTTGTGCCGCTCGGTAATTACGCAAGACTATTTTTGCATTTAATTTAGCAATTTGTGTCAAGGGCTGTATTTCTAAAATAACGTTCGCTGTTAACCTACCCCTATAACAAAGTCCAGGGTATGCAGCAGTTATCCCTTGTATTAACGCCGACCCAGTCCCCATGCATATATTTCACACGACACGTAATTCACTTTGCATTAGATTATAATGGAATTAGGGCACGCTCATCGGACCACTACTGGAACTACCGGCGAAAAATTCCAATATCTATATGCATGTTCGAAAACCCTGGGCTCTCCAAACCCCATACAGATTGGATGCAAATGGAAACTTTGGATCCACTTTTCTTGATCGTAATTTTGTAAAATGTCTATCAGAAAATTAAGTTTTTGTAGAATGTTATAAGTTTTCTAATAGAATCATTTCTAATAGTTATAAACATTCTTCTCAACTTTGAACTTAACTTACATATTTTAATTATTTTATTTAATTCTTCAAGCTGATTTGCTTTTAAATTTAATTCTAAATATAAATACATTTCTTATTGTTCAATTTATTCCCTATGTACCATAAATAATTTGTTTTATTTAATAACTTATTGAAATAACAAACATTTTATATTTAAATAAGGTTTTCTGAATGAAAAATTCGAATTAATTTAAAATTTTGCATAATTTGTATATAACAATAGTCATTGATTAGTCGGAGAATCTTTCTAAGTGTAAGTTGTACTAAATCATTAAGAAGTGCATACTTGAATACATAACAGGTTATTTCAGTTACAAATACTATTCTTTACTGAAAATTCACCATCCTATTAATTTATGTACCAATTTATATATATAGAAATAATAATGCAAACTGAATAGAAACGCGAATACACAGTTCGTGTTTTCAGCAATTTAGTGTAAGCAGTAAAACCACCAGCATCATCTTGAAACTGACACAGCGATTTTATCCAGCGAGATCAGAATTGTTTCGAAAACAGTGCGACGATAGCACAGGAGAGGATATATTTATACCAACTTCAATAGTCTAGGAAAATCGTTACCGTTTCACCAACTTTAAGGGGAAAATCGCTGTGTGAATAAAGTAAAATAAAAAAAACTCCTACTTTTGTTATCATAAATTGTTATTTATTATATAATTAAAAACCGTTATAATTTATTTTTCAATTGAATAGAGTTAATTAATGATTATTTCTATATGTTCAATTTAAAATGATGACGCAATTAATTTATATGAATATTGTGACTGTTCCAAACCGGACTAATCGAGGACTCTAATTCCAGCACAAAAATATACTTGACTATATAAAAAGAAATCATATATACATACAAAAATAAAAAATGTGTATTTTTATTTTTAAATGTATTGTATTTTTTCAATCCGGACTTATCGAAGCCGTACTATGGTTGTACTTTTGTATTTATCTATTGATTTAAAAAGTTAATATTTATTGAAATAGTTACAAATACATAAATAAAAAAATATCCATTTAGAAATAAATATTTTTTTTTGTGGGTTTGAAGGGAATATGAATAATAACATTAAAATTAGTTAAGGGCTGAGCCACATCTGGAACAGGCCCAAAGTTACTGTAACTTTGTCAGATCATCAATCTTTCGGGTATGTCAATGACTAATTGCAACCAATTTAGTTTTTGAAATATTGTGTAATATCTTAAATACAATTGTTTTCTAACTAACAGTTGAAAAGACAAAAATAAATAGATTTATTAAATTTTATTTATATTTATATCACATTTATAGTAGAAATTTTATCAAATATAAATTTATATGAATTTATGAATATTATATTTACAATTTAATTATTAAATATAATAAAATAAAGTAATTTTACATTTCCTAATGGAATATTTAATTCAATATAAAATTAATATAAATAACTGCATGTATAAATATTGGGTGATCGATTCTGTCAATATCACGTACTGTTCTAAATCGGACTAATCGAGATATTGAATATTTCTTTTGCTTAATCGTACAAGTGAAATCGGACTGATCGAAGACGCACTATGCGAGGTATTGTTATATAACTTATTCATAATATTGAAAGCTTTAGTTTTAGCCGTTGTGTAAAATGTTGGTACAGTTTAGAACATCTTTTTAAATGTAATTATTAAACTGAATATCAATATATACATGGATTCGTAGTTTCGATTAAAACGCTCAAAAATTGTGATAAACCTTATATTTTTAAAGTATACTTCTTTTCAATACATAATATCATTACTATAAGCAATGTATTGTATAGTTAATAACATCATTTAATATAAAAAAATAGAATTGAATGTCCAATATTCCAGATCAAAATATATAAAATATTTTTACCTGGGATATTGAATAACACGGTGATAAATTTAGATAAACCTTATATAACACGGTTTCGTCAGTTGCACGATTTTTATAATATATGCTTTTGGAGTTTTCAATAGCGTGGAACCAATAAACCGTGTTATTCAAGGATGTGACATTCATTCATCACATTAATAAAATAATGTAACAATTCTTAGTTTTGTGTAATAATTAATAAATTTCCATTATTTCTGTTGATAGATTGCTTTGTTATATTTAATGAAAGAAGTAAATGCAAAATTTGTTGCTCGTGAGTTAACGAGTACATCCGATGTTAATATAATTTGGCGATGTCGAGCAATCCGAGCGATTTTAGATCAAAGCAACGTAAAATACACTTACTGCTTTGTCTCCGAGTTGTTCGACCCTGCAATGAAGAAAAGCTGTCTGCCCCACGGCTGTGGTAACATTTCGAGGAACGTTGAATTCGAAATAAGGATAAGTGCTGACATTTCCTCCGAACCCTCCTTCATCTAGATGCGATTCTACTCCACCTGCAACACGAACCGAATTAAATCACGATACAGTTCCACTCTCTATCCTCTATAAATACTTAAATTTATTACCTAACCTACTACCATCATACTACATTATGTCTCGTAAATGCGTAAATTTAAGCTTTATAAACTCAATAATCTCATACATACATTATCATAATAAATATACGTAAAATATTGTATTTTGTATAATAAACATATTGCAGTATTAATTAATAACAAAATTAAATAATGAATCAATTTAGTTAACAATGGTTATGATTTGTTAAGTATATATATAATTAAGAAATCACACTAATTAGCAGCAGTACTATTTAATTTCACATCATACGTTGATTAATTTTCAGGACAAAATATAATCCAAAATTTTCTATGACAAAATATTAAAATCGCTTGAAAACCAGTTCAATTATCTCATAAAATAATAGTAAATTAAATTAATTCAACATTAATTATTATTAAAAAATGTATTGGCAGAAATACATCAAAGTTAAGTTAATAATCAAAACATTAATTAAACAATAACAAAATTACTTTTTATACATTTTTTTTTAAATAATGAACCAAAACTACTAATATTGTAATAGTAATATTATAAATACTAATATTAATATAGAAAATATAGCTCCATTGCAGAGTTAAATTGAACCGGAAACACTGTACGTTAATACCGTTCAATCCTGTTATAACGAAGAGATTTACAACTGAAACCTTTCTGAACGTTTACGCCCTTGCTTAAGGCTATCTTTAACCTATTTTTATGAAGAATGCTGCTATACGTTCCAAAGAACAAATGCCTCTCTGATATGTTAAATTCAGAAAAATTTAACTTCTAAAATTGAAATTTAAAAAATATATAATTATTAATAAATTATTGAAAAAATTGTAAATTGTAAAAATCAAAATTAAAACAAACATTGTATGTTCAGTTATGACAGTTATTACTATATTTTGTATGTGAGATTTGATAAAAAATGATTGTTTTGTTGTACATGGAAAACGAACAAAAGTTTTCTATATATTTTTTTTGAGGAAATAAATGAATTAGGGTAGCTGGTGGAAACAATGAAAATGTTTGTCAATTTTGTGTATGGGAATAGGGTTGAAATGAATTCCAAGAGAAATTCAATTATTGTGTATTTGAAGTTGAAATGATTGGATGGATGGATGAGCTTAATAAGAAACTATTGCAAAGACACGTGCAGATCGAATATAAAGTAGTCGCATTAACAAAGAGCGTGGCTCGAGGAGTTGTTCATCTGTAAGAGATAATACTTATTTTGAATGTAAGTTTATGGCAATATATAGAGAGGGGAGAGAACTTCTCGTAAGTAGATAGGAAATGTATATATTATATAATAGCAATGTAGTCAACTTAGTCAATGTTTAAATATTAAATATAACAGCAATACCTCGCATAGTGCGGTTTCATCAATATTTTGAAATCGGACTAATCGAGGACTTTTAAACCACATGAAAAGAAATTTGACTGTATAGATAAAAATAATTTTGTGTACACATTAAGCTATAAAAATAAAATAAGATAAAAATAATTGAATTTTGTACAAAACCCATTTTTTTTATTTCCTTCAAAACTTTTCTCAAATTGATGCAAACTTTTTGTCATATTGTCATAAATTATTATAAAAATTTAAAATTAACAACAAAAAGATCATTAAAATGGAACAACAGTCACAATTAGGTATTTTTTTTGTATACAACTGTCGTTATATAAGATTTTTGTTGTTCTACCTTAATTAATACGTGGAATAAAAACTTTACGAGCAGAAGCATCATAAAAGTCATTGTGTATGTAATTGCTTTTGCAGCATTAACAGAGAGTGCAGTAATTTGAAAATACTTGAGGAGTAATTGAAAGAAAAGTAATTATTCTTTATTTATTAATAATAATAAAGTTAGCTATAAATAAATAAATATACATTATAAAACCTTATAAATACAATAATTTTATATATGTAAATAAATAATTATAATTGGTGAAAGCGTATTAGTGGTTACTATGGTAACCATAATATGAACTGTGTTTAAGACAACGAACCTAGGGGTCCAATGCTTTAGGATATTTTTCAATAGTGTTTTAAAATAGATTAATCATTTGGGGGCACCCAAATATGTATTTCTTAGGGGCCCCAACTATCCTTAATTCGCAACTTACTGCGGTTAGTACGCCCGAACAATCGGGGGCCCCGCGTAATTTGGGGCACCAAACAGTGTTAGTTAAACTCCGCTCTCACATTTTTTTTTTGAAGTTGATCCCCTTCATGCATTGAGTGACCCATTTTATATTTATGCCCGAGTTGAGGCCTCCAAAGAACGGCACTATTAATATAATATTAATATCTTTATATAAGCATAAGTGCATACAAAAGTTAAAAGTAATTTAGTAGAACCATCTGTTAAATCCTCTCATAATGCAAACGAAAAGTTGATTTAAAGCTGTGGAAGAGCGAAGGACTAACTTTTATTATATTATTTATATTATGCGGTCATACGTAGCAGTAGTTAGAGTTAATTCCAGCTCCAAGGGAATTTCGGGTTAGACATAATTAGGTAAGTTGCATGAGTAAATCGGGATTTGCGGAAGGGGTGTTGAGTTTTGTAAGTGTTGATAAACCGGATGTTTTATTCACGTGGATGGACGGAACTTTCCCATCATCCCCGATTGAATATTAAAATAAATTTATCAAAGCGCATTCAGATTGCGACGGAATCACAGCTAATTGCACCAATTTTTAATTCCCTTCCCTCCGGAGATAAAATGCTCATTTCTCTCTCTCTCACACTCTATGTGTGTCTGCTGCATACATGTAATGCGTGCCTCCCTCTGGTAGCAATGCAGAATACGCAAAAGCTAGTTATACAACGTACCGTGATTGGGAAAACAGTCAGCATTTCCCGTTTCAAATCTGGTTTCACGGCCTATGCGTTTGCATATTGAAATCGGATGTCCGCCATGAAATGGTTTTTACCCATCCTCACAATTTTAACATCGTATGTAGATCGCCTCCTCGTTTTTCATTTATAGATTGCAATTCTCATTCATTTTTATTTCTGCTCATACCTTTTTATCTCAACCTATCTATTATACAATATTTATTTTTACTTTTTTTCATATTCATCTCAATAATAAATGTAATTTATGATATTTCAAGGTTCCTCAATTATTTGATCAATTTTATACCATGATGATTATAAATTAATTATTCTCAAACACCTCGGTTTTCGAACAAAAATTACAAAAAGAAACTCGATTTCCGAATATTTTTTTTATTATGACGTCCATCAATGTCACAATGATTTTGACATCCATAAACGTCACATTACGTCAATAAACATCGTTTTCGAACAAAAATTACAAAAAGTGCCTGGATTTCCGACGCGAAGATTTCTTTTTTATTATAACGTCTATCAATGTCACAATTACTACAATCAACGTTTTTTAATAGAATATTATTTTTTATTCAACATTCTATTCAACATTTTTTAACACATTGACGACGGCATGACCCNACGAAAAAATTTCTGGGGGCAGACAACCCGAAAAGCGCCATCCTTAACGTGTTAATCAAAAGTGACAATGACATAGACATCGATTATCAACATGATGACTTCAATCAACATCACAATGACATCAATGAACGGAATGTCAAAAAATTTAAAACAAAAAAAAAAGGATTATATCTATCAATAATCATCATGATGAAGTCATATTGATGAAACAATGATGTCTACCAACGTTACAATTACTTAGATCAACATCACAATGATATCAATGAACGGAACAATGACAAAAATCTAAAACACAAAATGAGACAAATTTTTGATGAGACATTGTTTTTAGTCATCTCTGAACAAAATTTGAGAAAATATGAAATATTTTTGAATTATTCAAGGTGTAATAGGATTGCGGTGGTTAACAATTTAAGAATATGCAAAGTACAGAGAACCTGTTTGTGAAATATGGATTATGTGAGTCAATAATTTATCCTAACAATGGGTCCATTCAGGTCCGTCGGTCTAGACTTGGTAAATATCGTTGTGGTTGGAAAACTATTTACATGGAGCGCGGGGCGAGCTTCAATTTAGCGGGCTTGGAAGTTTTCGAACTGAAAATGGTGTACGGTAAACAAATCTTTATTAATTTATCTGCGTCGGAAAATCTTGGAGTCCGAGCGTGTAAAATCCGATCGGCAAAGTTGGTTCATGTGTGTGTGTGTATGGGTATAACGTTTAACAGGATAGCTCTCCAGCTTATTAACCAGGAAATATTAAGAAGTTTCCCAAAGAGATTTTACTTGACTAACTAGCGTAAAGCACAAAGTTCCCTCTCTCGTCTTGGCGCTTAAAGACAATTGCACCTGGCCACGATGCCCACAAATCACTTTAATTGCACGACCTGATAAAACTATTCGCATGTCTATGGCAAGTGTTTTCAAAGTAATTTTTAGTTGGCTGGATGGATGAAGAAAGAAGCATCGCGCAACCCGAACGGCGATAAATAAGAAGGCAACAAAAGGTGGCGGCCCGCGGAATTGTTACGTAACATCTTCTGGAACAAACCTCCAGTCGGTGCTTTATTGCTGTTAACTTTCTTGCAGCGTGCAGCGGCATTCAAAGGCGAATAAATATACGTAATTGGAACAACTTCCTCGACCAGAATTAAGCGTTGTACATGCTATGCTACATACAACTATTTTCAACTATGCGGCCACTATGAAATAATAAGCCATGAAAACAAAACATTGTTCGTTAAACTTAACCAAACCCCCATGTGCAATATCCAGGAGTTGGAGTGCAACTTCCAGCGCTTTCAAGTTTTATCTCTGACATGTAAATTTCGTCGACTTGAGTTCAAAACAGTTAAACTATACATGTATAATCTTTGGATAATTTACAAAAAAAAAAACTAACCACAGTCGGGGTTTGAAAACGCTGCATTTGATGTTCGGAAATTGAAACTTCGTTAAATATTGATAAGTGCAGAAGTCTTGCGATTTATCTGAGAGAAAATGGGACGATTTGCAAGCGCTTTACTTTGTATCTTTGATGTAGCTCTGGCGCAT